GGTTCGATTTCCTCTTAATGCATTTGCAATTCACCTGCAAAATGTTTTTAAATTTTTTTTTGTTTTCCTCGTGTTGGAAGAGTTTTTCGGTAGTATGTGCAGATTTACGCGAGTGATTGATCTGCATGACCGCAACTGCGATGATCTTTACAAATGTGGTGATCGAGTTTGATTTCCATCTAACGAATGATTGAGCTGTACGTACGATTTTCCTCTCGTAATTTTTCCAAGTTGGGATTTCTCGAGTGTACTACTGTGAGCGTTCGAGTGAAATGGTACTATAAGTGAACGCTTCGGATAGGTATTGGATAGGTAAGTGTGCATTAATGGGGTAGTGGTAACCTGGGTCGTTGCCATGAAAAGTCTCGGATAGTAGTTTCGACCCGCCGGGGGTTCGATTCCCTCTTAATGCATGACTGGTATAAGTTCTACAAGTATTCTTTTTTCCTTGGTTCTGTAAGAATTCTCAGAACTTTTCCCGATTCGAAACGGTAGGACGCTAAATGCCGTAACTCGAGTATATATTCTTCCGCGAAAGGATTGATATACGGCCGGCATCAAACACCGTCATAGGCGTGGAATCCCGATCAGGTACCTGATCAAGTGTTTCTCAGGTTCATCAACTTTGTCTTCCTCCTCTCACTCTCTCCATCTATCCCCAGTCCATTTTCCAGTTTTTTTCTTCTGTTCAGGGAGATGATACCAGAGTGTTGAGGACACGAAACAAAGAAGGCGGTTCTTTTGGATGGATACTGTACTATCAACCGAGACCAGAACCAATACCAGAACCAGAACCATGGACATTTCTTCTCTCCCTTTACCCGTCACCGTCCCTGCCGACACCGCCCCTTCTTCGTCACTCGGAAAACGACCTCAATTCATCCAACTCGTCACCAGACTCTTCGATACGATTCGCACAAACCTCACCGCCGGAACCCCTCCTTCCAGTTCCGAGTCTTTCGCCGACGATGACGACGTGTCTCCCCCTCTGCACGCCCTAGACGTCCCAGACCCCGGAACCGTCATCACCTCCGAAGAAGAAGGTGGGTACGTCGAAAAAGTCGTCGTCGAGCAATCCTGGGGCAGCGGCACCCGCCAGCCCTCCAGCGACAGCTCCGACCCCGACCAACACAAGGATTCCAAATCCGGCGAAAACATCCAGCCTATCCAGATGATGAACCCGCGCGGGGGAGGCGAAGCCGGTACGGACATCGCCGACGGGCATTCGAATGCCTCTTTGGTTGCGATGATCAGGTTGTGGCTTAAAATCCGACACTTTTTTTATCCGAGGCCGTTCGATGTGGGAAGCGAGAAGAGGTATGATGAAGATGATTGGTATTCGAAGAAGACGATGGCGCAGACGGCGTCCATTTGGTTGATTATTAATTGGGCGTTGGGGTGTGTTTCGGTTCCTAGGCCTTGGACGTTGATTGATTATATTTTTTATGCCGCGGTGAGTTTGGGTGTGGCGTTGACGTTGTTGTGGTGGAATTGGAAATTGATTTGGATGACTCGTGCTAACTCTTTTTTTATTTAGATAGCACCTGTTTTTACGATACCCATATTCGTCATGGTTATGTACAGCTGGCCCCGCGACCGTCGAGTGCTCTTTCAATTCTTCGTTACGTTTGCTTTATGGATGTGGTGCGTATCCTCCCCCCCTTCCTCTTAGGTTATCACTCGATGCTTATCCCTCGACGCTTATTCCTCAACGCTCATTCCTCAATGCTTAACTCCGCAACCCCCCGCGCTCGCACGTCTACAGGCCATTCATTCTCATCATCAACATCCGCATCTGCGGGTTCTACGCCACGCCCCAATTCTCCGGCGCCCTCGTCTCATGCCACGGAAAAGACTTTATCAATGTCTTCTTTTACGCCACCGCCATGCAGGCGATTGGACTGTTTGGGTTGAGGTTGGAGAGGCTGTATGCGGCGGTTGCGGCTGCGCTTTGGTTTGTTATGTGAGTAGGGTCGATTTATATTTGTTTTTCTTTTTTGGGATTGGATTGCGTTGCGTTGCTTGGGCTTGGGCTTCGAGGGTCTTTTCATTAAAATTCATTTTAATTCATGTTTTGGGGGGGGGGTTTCATTTCATTTAACTTCATCGAGACGGAGGCGGTGGGGGCGTTGCTCTTTTGATAATTTCAGCTCGGCTGAGAATTTTAATGATCTTCGTTTTGTCTTCTGGGGGATGTTTCAGGTGTTCTGGGGTTGTTGGCTGTAGTTCATTCCGCTAACGGCGATTTGGTTTTTTCCTCCGTTCTTTCTTGCTTACCTTTTTTGTTTTTTATAGTTCGTGTGCATTGATTATACCTCAACATACCGTCTGGTGGAGATGTACGTATTGACTTTTTTCTTTCTTTCCCTCTCTCTCTCTCGCGTTGCGTTGCGTGCCGTCCTATTCCTCGGACTCCCCCTTCCTCTCCCTAAATTGATTCTTGTTACTGATGCAAAACGAGGTACTTATTAAACTTTGTAGCCGTTACGAATTTCGCGGTGTTTCATATATGTGAGTAGCGTCCTGTTTCCCTCTTTTTCCCTTTTCCTCCGTTCCTCCGTCCCTCCCCTTCTGCCGCCGGAATGGGAATGGACTGATTCATTCATTCATGACGGTATAGTTTTGATATGGGTGCATGAACGTCGTGAAAGTGTACGTGTTATGATTCACTTCTGAGTGTGTGGATGATCTCGTGCTGACGGTTTTTGTTTTGAATTCTTTCCATTCTTCTCTTTGTTTTCTTCTTTTGTTCATTTTCATTCATTTTTATTTCCTTTTTCTCCATTCTCTTGGTGTTCTCTTGGTGTTCGGTGCTTCTTTTTTTCTGTTTTTGGTCGTGTGTTCCCCCGTGTGTTGTGGGTTTGGTGGGTTTGAATGTATGGTATGGTGCATGGTGTGTGTGTGCGTTTTTTGTACGTGTGCATCTTTTTTACATTTGACCGTTTTCGTGTACGTGGGCCTGTGCGGCGGGCGTGCTTTTATACGTACGTGGGTGTTTTTTGGACTGCGTACGGGTATGGGTATGGATATGCGGATGTGAATGCGAATGCGAATGCGAATTGGGCTTTGGGCTTTGGGTTTCTTCGTCTGTGGTTGGGGATGTGTTGGGTCGTCCGTTCAATTTTCGGTGGTTGCTTTTGGTTCCGTGTTCTGCATGGTGCTGGGCGGGTTTACATGGGGGTGTAACGTAAAACAGTCCGAGCGCCGATTGTACGCCATGAAAGTCCAGGTCAAGATCCAGTACAAGGCGTTGCAGCGCGCGCAGGCTAATGAGCGTCGGACGACTGAGTCGAAGCATCGGTTGACTTCGTGAGTGTTGTGATATCTTTTTTTTTTTTTTTTCGTTTCTTCCCCTTTCTCCCTATCATCTTTCCCTTCTCCCCTTTTCTCCATTGTCGGTCCCCCATCTCCGTTCGCCTTTTTCGATCTTGCCTATGCGATGCAGTGTAAGCGTAGCTGACCTTCTCCCCTCTCCTTTTCCCTCTCCTTTTCCCCTCTCCTTCTCTCCACTTCCCATCCGATTTCCATGCCCATAAACATCAACAAAAAAAGATACGTCTTCCACGAAGTCCGCGTCCCGCTCAACTCTGCTCTCCTCGCTGCGCAATACATGGAAGCTTCTGGAACGATATCCAGGGCTCTTGAGGTGGAGTTTGATGCGCTGATGGGTAGTTTGACGATGATGTCGCAAGGTGTGTTGTGTGTTGCGTCGTGTCGTGTTCTATGTTCTTTTGAACAAGTTTTTTTCTGACTCTTGATTTGATAGTGCTCAATGATGTATTGGATTTGTACGTCTCCCCCCCCTCCCCTTTCATTGGGATGGGATCGGTTCGGTAGCGGGTTTGCTGATGGTGTCGTCTTTTTTCATGTGTATAGCAATCGATTGGATAGTGGACAGTTTGAGTTGGTTTCCAAGGTGTGTCTCTTTGTTTCTCTTTCGTTCGTGGTTTTGTCTTTCTACTTTGAATATCGACGATTTCTCCGATATACCTTCTTTCCTTTCCAAGTTATCCATCATAATCATATTACTCCGTTTCGTGATAAGATTAACTAACCGACGCTGACACGAAATTGAATGTTGTTCTCCTTTTTGGGTTTGGGTTTTGATAGCCTTATGCGATTCATCAAAGTGAGTGGTTTTTGCTATTGATAGGTTGATACTTAAGAATATTGTTTTTTTGCTTGTTGTTCTTTTCCTTTCCAACCCTCTTCCCTCTCCTCCCTCTCTTCTCCCTCTCTTCCCCCTCTCTCCTCCCTCTCCTTCCCTCTCCCCTCTTCCCTTCCCCTCTCTTTCCCTCTTTCCCTCTCCTCTCCCTTCCCCCTCTTCCGTTTCCTCTCTCTCCCCTTCTCTCCCCTCTCTCCTTCTTTCCCCTCTTTCCTTCTCTCACTCTCACTCTCCCTCCTTCCTCCTCCCTCTTCCCTCTCCCCCCCTTTCCCCCTCCCCTCTCCCTCCCTCTCCCCTTTTTCTTTATCTCCCACCTTACCTCTTCACCCTTCCTCGATGGTCTGATTTGATGTGTTTATCGATGTTGGGGACGCACAGCGATCCGGTCCCTGTTCATCCCTCTGCAAATGGCTACGGCTCAGAAAGGATTGACGTTGCATACAGAGCTGGATCCGAATATAGATAAGGTGAGGACCCGGTTTCTCGGACAGTTTTTCGATGAATCTAATTAACTAATTTCTTGTAGATTGCGCGGTGTGCAGCTTATCGAGCGATGGGCGAACGCCAAGATGTTATTGAGCGACATCTCAAGGAGCATCCCGATGTCGATGGGGTTGTGGTTGGAGACGAAGCGAGGTTTAGGCAGATTATTACAAATTTCGCTAGGTATGTTCCATCCCTTCTTTTCTAACTGGGTCCGCTCGATTCCATTACCACCCCTCCTTCTCCCTTCCGACGAGTGTACCTTTTGGTTGCCAAGACTAAAAAGGATTAACGTCGCTTTTCCTTACAGCAATGCCTGCAAGTTCACATCTGAAGGCGGCTCGGTCACTGTCAAAACCAAGCTGGTCGTTCCGTCCCTAGACGTCATCGGTAGTTCTGTCGGTGAAGGTGCGGCCAGTACCCTTGTCGGTAGCAGTAATAATGGAGGCGCAGTTTGGAGTGAAGGCGGCGGCGGCGGCGGAGGGGGAGATTATGCGCCAAGGGGTATTGTGGATGGTCTTTCAGAGTTGAGGCTTGCGCAACATGATTACGATCATGGGCCGGAGAAGGACGAGTCGATTGTGGTTCGGGTGGAGGTGACGGATACGGGGTGTGGGATCGAGAGTTCAGAGTTGAGTGGGCCGAAGTTGTTCTGTGGGTTTCTCCTAATCCCCGTCGTTGGCATGGCTGATGCTGGCTTGTGTATAGCTGCATTCGTTCAAACAGAAAGAGGAAAACAACAAGGTGGGGTGCGCCATTGTGACT